CAGCAGTGTTGTTTTGTTTAGGTAAATCTGTTTTTTAAATAAAATGGTTATTTGAATTGGTAAAGTATTTTGAATAACTAACCTAACCTTGAAAAAACTAGCATATATATTATTCCTAATTCCATTACTGTTTCCTTAAATTTTTCATAGGCTTTCATCTTTTCTATAATAAGCCTACAGGCAAAAAATTGAAACCCACAACAAAATCAAAACCCCCAAAACAGGGCAGACCAGCAGTTACCCCTTGTCCCTCTTGCACCTCTCTGTCCTGACTCCATGTGCCTGCATCACCAAAGAATTGTAAAAACCTTCTAGTTCCTCATCATGTTTCAAATCCTCCTTCAGCAAGAGGAACGAGTTTTATTTTCTGCTGCCTGGATTTGCCTGCAGCCTGTCCCAGTACTAACATTAATGGATTAGAAGCTACGAAAAAGCTCCGGTGACACATTTTCATTAAATGGCTGCTTGCTTCCCTGAGTGAAGGGTCTGGAGGAACCATGTGCTTCAGCAAACTGCATTTGTTCTGAGCCTATTTCTTTAAGACTTGTAACACAAGAATTAAACTATATTCTAACAACAGAAACCAGGAGCACCATCACTGGACACCTTTTTTAGGTAGGCACAACTGCTGTTTTCTGAACTTGTCTTTTAGAGCTCTGAATGAAGTCACTAGACACTCTCTAAACTGGTTCCCAGATTAGCAATTTTTAAAATAAACGTAATACTTATAAATTTATCTGAGGCACTACGTCCCTAACAGTGCAAGGAGCCATACAACTTAAGGATCTCCCCAGCCCCATTTTATAGATTTTTGTTTTTAAACTTTTAAACAATATTTAAATCACTGTCTGTTAAAGACTATATGCTTTCAGATAGATTAAATAATAGATAAAGAAAGATAGATTAAATATTTAGGTAGGAGGAGACTTCAAGATAAAATAGCAGTCCATCTCAGATTGGGAAAATAATAATCAAAGCACAAAAGATACTAAAAAAGTGCTCACTGGACCTGTCACTTCTCCAGATAAACCTTTGTTGTGTCTCTAAACAGGCCCATCTTAAATCTCCAACAAATGGTCTGACACACTCCCAACACAGCACCACACGGACCTAAGAAACAGAGTCCATAGTTCTACCACATTAAAAATGTTAACTATTAACTGTGGAATGCAAATTCTGAGATCTCGGTGACTGCACTGACTGAAAGTATGACAGGGCGTTTAAAAACACTTCATAGACTTCAACACTTCTTTTATACCCTTTATAAATTACTTATCTCTTCTAATGTAACAGGCACATATTCCAGAGTTCAAACCCAAAATTCCACTGGGCATTTCTCAACACACTCTTATTTAAAGGAGAAGATAACACAAGGCTGCTGGGATACTGAGTGGCCAACTTGCAGGATGGATTGTCGGGGTTTTTTTCCAGACACACTCTGTAAATGGAAGCAGCTAGCAGTTTTCAGTGGTGGTAACTTGGAAAACAGAACGGATAGGTTAATTGTTACCAAATAACCAATTCAAGGTCTGAAGACAAGCTACCTTTTGATGTCTAAGAACCCCTGAAAGCCACTCTCTGTAGTGTCCATACATATGGGCACCACCAGACCTGCAGTTTATTACAGCTAATCCCCACTGCAGAGGCCAGGCCTGCTTTTACACAAAATTACTAAAACAGCCCAGCCTGGGGTTTAGAGGCAAAGGAACACACAAGCAGGGGCACAGGGGTCTCCCCTCTAGAGAGATGACCACAGGAGCCACCTCAATTCTGATCACCACAACTGCAGTCTTTTTGCTGGCTGCACAGTTCCTTTGTTTCAGCTCCATCACCTTGATTTAAATATAAGTCATTATATTTAGACGGAGCAGAAAGCTGTACCAAGGATTTTAAGAGGATTGAAACGGCTTTTTCCACCTTACCACCCCAGCAACTACCACCAGCAGAACAAAGCCTCCAATATAAACACGACCACTAAGCACTAAGTTCACAGTGAAATGCTCATTGAGTACAGCGTGCCCCTTCTCCCACACTAAGGGTGACGTCATGATGAGTCTTGACTTTTCTTTTCATATACCTTTTATATATTCTCAATACCCTTAACAGACATACTTGCAATTCTTTAAGCCTAATATCTTAACATAATCCTGGTATTCTACTAAGACAAAAGACCAAACATCGTAAAAGCTTCACAGTTAGAAGCCAGAAAACCTTGACTCTATTTTGAGAAATCAAGACCCCCATAAAACACATCCTGTAAACTAAGATTAGACCCTTTTAAGAAAAAATATTTTAAAATAAAATTTTAAAAAATCACACAATTCATTTAAACTTCTCATTGAAACATCTTTGTTAAATATACCAATTTACAAAATCTATAAAATTGGATACACCATCTACCATATGTATGCATTTCAGCATATTCCACCTCAACAAATTGTTACACCTTAAAAATCCTTATTAAATAACAAAATAGAAATCCTTTTATCCCTCACCCATGTCTAACTCTTAATTTTAAGACCAAGGAAAAGGCATCAAGAGTACTGAAGGAATTATATTCCTTCTCAGCCCCCTCCCATGCCCCAGCACCGTACACCCACACATAGGGCTGAGGCCCTATAGACAAAAAGTTTAAGGGAACACCTGCCCACAGAGCTCATCAGCAATCAACCTGATGAAGAAGCTCAGTACAACTGAACAAACACTGCATGAAAAATTTAAATAAAAACAGAAATTACTCTTGCTGAGCAAAACAACTTATTGTCCAAATCAAAATCTGAGGTGGCTGCTGCCACAGCAAGTTTAGGAACTGAACCATAGGGTGAAGACAAAAGCTGCAGAAGGTTTCAGACATATCAGGACAAGCTTACAGGACACAACACAACAAGCTGTCTGTCTAAAGAATAGCATTCAGTTACTTAAATGGAGTCTTCTGAAGGACAGAACTCCACCAGCAGCGTAATGACATTACCACCCTCAGCTCTATCCCACATCACCTTCAGCTTCTGAAGACTTCCCTTCATCCATCCACCCACAAAATGCTACTCCTCTGAACTGAGAACAGCATTACTCACACCACTCAGAGATCCACAGAATCCCTGAATTATTAGGTTTGGAAGGTTCCTGTGGAGCTGCCGCCTGCCAGGCCGTGCCCAGCAGGGTCCCCTGCAGCAGTGCCCCAGGCCGTGCCCAGCTGGGGCTGCCATGGCTCCACACAGGGACACTCCAGGCCCTCCCTGGGCAGCTGTTCCAGGCCTCTGCCCCTCCATGGACACAAGTTCTTCCTCCTGCCGGGCTGCCGCTCGCTGCCCTTTATTTTATTATCGGCAGCGCCCAGCAGAGCCCGGCCCCGTCCTCTGGCAGCCCTCGGAGATGTTTGTGTGGATCCACGGGATCCCCTCTGGGCCTTCCCTTCTCCGGCCTGGCCGGGCCCGGCTCCCGCAGCCTCTGGCCGTCCCGGAGCTGCTGCAGAGCCCAAATCCTCTCTGTGGCCTCCCCTGGACCCTGTCCAGTAGATTCTTCTCTGGTAACAGCACACCGGAGCCAGAAAAGTGACCATTTCTGACTGCCAGCGGTGTCCGGCACACCGGCGGTACCAGCAGCCGGGCCGGCTGGGGAGGAAGCGGGCGGCGGCCCCGGACACACAGCCCACACACACCGCCTCCCGCAGCATTTGTCACCTCCTGACAGAAAATGGGTCTAGAGAATGGGACTGCAGCAGGCCTGGCAGATCACTGCTCAGCGGAAACCACTGTTCCCCCAACATCCCATTTCCTCTGATTTGCATTATTTAATGAGCCGAGGTTCGTATCAGACCACCTCGGCCACAGAGCACTGACAGCACCTGGCTCTGGCAGCCAGCTGGCCCCTCTGCCGTACTCCCCCCAGAAGGTGTTAATGACCAGCTCTCTGCCACTACTGCTCCTATTTAAACACAGGCTCAAAATGTTTTACACTCTATTAATGCCTGTAAGTGTACAGTGTAAGATTGCCCATTACACTCTACATACCATAGATGTATTCTATATAAACTAAAAAATAATCTCATATATTTTACTTTGCATACCACATATATTCTCCGTATACCCTATGTAGTACTCTCTGTATATATACTATATATACTGTATACAAAATCAAACAGAACAGGAGTAAGCAATAATATCACTAACACCCCCAAACCTCCGGGGGCGAATAACCCACCCAGGTAACCTCAGTCAGAGGCCAGACTCCCACAGCCACGTCCCCCGACCTCACCCGGCCGGTTCGGGGCCGTCCCGGGGCCGTCTCCCCTCAGGGCCCGCCCCGGCCCCGCCAGCGGCTCCGGGCGGCGGCCTCGACCCTCCGCTGCGAGCAACAAGCCTGCGCGGCCACACCTGCGCGTGACGTCACGGAGACCGCACCCTACCCCACCCTGCGCGTGCGCTTCCCGCCACGGCAGGCCTGGGGCGTGGCCTGGGAAAGGGGCGTGGCCTGGGAAAGGGGCGTGGCCACGTGACGGACGGACAGCGCGAGGGCGTGGCATGATTGGAATGGGAGTGGTCGTGCTTGTGATTGACAGCGCAGAAGGGCGGAGCCTCCGATGGGTCAAAGCGAGGGAGGGGCGGGGCCTATGCGAGGGGGCGGAGCCTCTCGTGCAGGTCGCACCCCCATCTCTGTCGCGCGCCCCGCCGGCAGGGGGCGCCCCTCCCCTCCGGATCTCGTGATGTCACACCCTCATACGGGCGGTGACGTCACTGCCGCTCCATCAGCCCCCCTCAGGCCCTGGTCCCGTGACATCACACCCACTCAGTGACGTCACTCCCCATCACTGGACCCTGTGGGCTCAGGGAAGTGCCTGGGCAGCCGGCACACCCTGCCCCAGGGGAACTGAGGATCTCCGCTGCGCCCGCGCTGTGACATCAGCCCCACAGTGATGCCATCACAGCACAGTTCTTGGTGTTTCCTCGAGAAGCTTTATTTCCATAAAACTACAAATTTTTAGAAGCTGCTCGCACGGTCGCTCAGCCATCCCCGAGCGCTGAGGGCCAGGAGCGCGCCCGTCGGAGCCCTGCGGCCCGCGGTGCTCCCGTGAGGGGCAGGGCAGGGAGGCGATGCCCGTCGGCGTGAGGGGCGGCCGGGGGGCTCTGGGCTCCGAGCCGACACCTGCCCGCCGTGTCCCCCCGCTCCTGCCCCGGCCCGGGCTCCGTGGCCTCAGCCGCCCGTGCCAGCATGTAGCTGACCTTGCGCTGGTGCGCCAGGGCCTCCTCCTTGTCGTTCACCTGCCGGGCCACAGAAAGGAGAGCAGGCCATGCTCAGCTCAGGGCTGTAAACCCAGCAAACACTCGCGCTCCGGAAGGGTGAACCAAACACTGACCAGGTCAATCAACATCCTCAGGATTTCGTGGGCGTTGTCCAGCTCCTCCACCTTCCTGCAGTCCCCATCTGACGAGAGCAGGCTGGACAGCTTCCGCCCCAGGTTGTTCTTGCTCCCCTGTAACTTGACACGCTCTAAGGAAAACAAAAGTGCGCCAGAATTGCTCAGGAAGGGAAAAACTACTTTGGGATAAACCTGGATCTTGACGATCTCATCAAAATGGGCAATGGGAGCTGCAGCTTCTTCTATGCATGCACTGCAGGCTCCTGCCACGCGGCACTGCTCCTGCTGTCACATAAAGCCTACACAGACTTACACGTGGACACATTGAGAATTCTTCTTGCTCCATGAAAAATATACTTTTGACACTCTAGTTAAACAATAATTAGTGGTAATTTGTTTTTAAATGGTAAGTAGCCTAAAAAACCCGAAGATCCTCTGACACAGGTCACTTAAAAGTTTTCAAGATTTCCAGAAATAGCAAAATACATTAAAATTATGGAACATATGTGCCAGGTAACAAAACCTGAAAGCAATGGTGTCAGTACAGGGGAAACAGCTACTCAAGGTTCTGCTGTAATAGTGCAGCAGTGCCCAAGGAATCTGGGAGACACACCACACTTCTAAGCCTGGCACCTCCTGGCCAGTGGTCAAAACAAATATACTGTGCCATTCATAAAGTCATAAAGCAGTGGTTTTGACCATGATGTAAGCACTTCAGTACTTTTCTTTATGCCTTTATAATTTTTAAAAGAATAAAAGATCATTAGAATTATTCCTCCTTTACAGATTGGAATTTTTCCTCTTTTACAGGGCTTTGTAATTCTGTATTAGCGTAAGAACACTAATAAACACTAAAATTGAGACACATGCATGATAAAAGGCAAAAAATCTTTTAAGAAAAAAACAGAAAAAAAATCTATTTAGTACTTCAGTGAATCATGGAATAGCCATGATTAGAAGATAGAAGATACCTTAAAGCTCATCTTTTTTCATACCTTCCACTAGACCAGGTTGCTCAATACCCCATTTGGAGCCAAGAAAGATCCAACTATACTTTTTTTTTTTTTTTGCATTTCTGCTCCTTCCCCAACTCTTCCATAGAGCTCATTTGAAAAAAAACCCAAACCCCAGAGAAGCTGCTGGTAGCACCTAGAAGAGCCCAAAGTCAGCTTTTCTCAGCTGCTGTCCATAGCCCTCGGTCAGCAGCTGAGCCACCAGCACGTTTAAAACAGGGAGAGGGGTTCCTGCTCCCTGCTCTGCCAGCCAGCCCCCCGACACACAGACTGCCCAGCTACCAGTGCCTCGCAGACGTCTCCAGTTTGCAAATTTGGTTTCCTTCTTCATGTTCATCACTTCTGCCAGCCTCAGGGCCTGGTCCTTCCTCTGCATCAGCTGCTGCTCAAATGCAATTCTGAAGGCATCTGCCATGATATACGCTTCATCCTTACTCTTCTTCAGGTTGTCAATCTGGTTTTAATTCAAGGAAAATTTAAAGCCTATTAGCTAATTTGGAAGCAAAATCCGAATTAAAATTAATCTTAAGACATAGCTTGCAAGTAAATATAATCAAGGAAGTAGCAGGAATCAGCGGGTTTTCCTGACATGTAATTTGAAATGTGAGAAATGTATTTTGAAATGTGTATTAAAGTCCTTACTCTTCATTGTCTGCACATGTTCACACCCCCAGCCACCTACACAATCACCTCTCTGTGTGTGTTTGTTTATCTCTGCAGATGTACAAGAGCTCAAGGAGGGAAATAATGTCCTGTCACAACTGGGCCAGGAGAAAAAGGACCAAGAGATTGGAATCCGTATCAGGGATCGTAAGGGACAGGCCAACACCTATTTTCAAAACCACTTACTCAGCTGGAAGTTCTGCAGCAGGAGCACAAGGATGGTTATCACATTTGCAGAATCAAATACAAATGAGAAGAAAAATTCTAAATCCACACAATTTCACTAAATAGAAAAAAATTAGGAGCTTGGAATTCACATCATTGATGTAGGTGTGAGGTAAATAGATATTTTTCTAGCAAGGTCAGCTTGCTGACCTAGCTGGGTGAGCGGGCTGTGAGTGCTGATGCCAACACAAGGGAGAGGTGAAATGTACTGCCAGGAAGGAAAGAAAAGGTTCAGTGCCAGTCCACGTGCACAGTGTGTACATTCAGGACGGCATATACTTAGGGTGTGCTCCCTTTTTTCAGATTAAAAAATACGGGCAGAAGGAAAAAGAATGCAAAAAATATAATTTTTTTAGTTAGTAAAGTTGAGTAGATGTAACTACGTTTTTTTTTTCTACCAACAAGAATTATGGCATTACAAGCATCACAAACAAGCTTTACATCATTTGTCAGACTGACTGGGGCTGTGAGACACCCGAGTTTGTGTAAGCAGCGGCTGAGCGTTTCTGGCCGTCTCTGGACTGGTGCAGGAGCACTCCCCCCTTGTCCCCACCCAGCCAGGCACTGTCACCTCTTGCTTGAGATGGAGGAGCTGCTTCCGAGCGAGAGCTGCCACTCTGGCACAGGAACAGGGCTGCCCCTCAGCAGGACTGCAGGCGCAGGCTCCGAGCACTGCCAGCTGAAAACCCAAAGCAAACAGCTCAGGATCTGCTCACAGAGGTGCCAGCACAAAAACCCACCCTGGAACCACACAGGGAGGCCAGGCAGCGGGAGCAAGTGCGGGAGGCGGAGAGGAAAGCTCCTGACTCACAATGAGAGGTGTGTTTTCAGGCAAAACCCGACAGGTGGGTGTGCCACACCCTGCAGCCCTCACTGGGACACTACTGGGCTCAGTGAAGCACGAGGAAGCAGAGTATAAGAGCTAGGAAGAAGAAAAACAAGCATCATAGCTTGTGAAAAATAGCCTGATGCCTTCTTCTGTCTGATCTTCCTTTGCAAGGTGCACCAGGAAGAGGAAAATTATTAACAGGCATGCAAAAGCACGTGCTAATTAGCTAGAAATGGGTTTAAATAAAGAAATATGTAATGAGCAATGAATTTTCTCTATGTGTTTTGAAACGGACATGTCTCTAAAGCAGTCACTTGGAAAAACACATAGGCAATACTTACTTCAAGACCTGTAAAATCAGTAATGTCACTTTTGTTCAATGACATGTTCTCCTGAAAAACTTTCTGTTGTTTCACATCTAGCATTGCAAGGAATTCCAAGCACTGCTGCTTCAGGACTATAAATTAAAACAAAGAAAGAGATGACAAAAATCTGCTGCTCAGATTTCTTAATTTCTGAGCTCAACTACACCCGAACGAAGCAGTTTTACAGTTCAAGCATCGGTTTGGGAACAAGATGAGAGTGTAGAAGTAGAAACTCGTATCCCAGTCGTTTCTCCTTCTGTGTTCTCCCGAAGTAATGGCCCACTTAGAGAGAGACCATTTCCTGTATTGCTCTGCCTCAGGACTGAGTGCTCTTCTCTTTGTACACTTAAAAGTCAGGCAGCCTCTCATTTAGAACAGCACAACACTGGGGCAGTAATGACTTTAAAGCTTTTTGGAAGGCAAAAATAAAAGAAAGGGATTCGAGTCCTCTGATTAAGTGGCTGTCCTGGCTGCTTTCCAGTTTAATTTCCAGGCTTCTGCATATCCACTAAGATCAGCTGCCAGTAGCAAGACACTGATCCCCACAGGAAGCTTCCATCACAACTGAATCCTGAATTATTCCTGAAAAACAGTATATTCAAAGGAATAGCTGTTGCTGGCTTACTTGCATTTTCAGCTTTAAGTGTTTTAACTTCTCCTGTCCTCAGTTTCAACGCATCCTTAAGAGCTGCATTTTCACAATATATCCTGTTGAAGTTAGAAAATTACTTTATTATATTTTTTTAAATGTTTTTAAGTGGGCACTCAATAACTTTAAAAATAACCTGTTAAAACATGGTATCTAATATTTCTGCAAATTAAAATTAGGATTACTTAAAGGATGTAATAAAAAAAATCAAAAGTGAAAGGAGTAGATATAAATAAAAAAAAAATTTAAAAAACCCCACTCATGTAAGTAGGCAGTGCCCACAGCTTTAACAAGAGATGAATTTAAGTGCCACATTTCCATAAGAAACACTAAAAATTTGGTAATTATGAACCTCTGAAACACTTGCTAGAAATATCCTGCTTCCTTGAAAGAACAAAACTGGTATTAGAGGTGTGACAGCTCAGGTCTGTAAACTTCCTGTAGTCTGAATCCTGTTTTCAAGAACAGCTGTGCCTTCAGGTGTTGCAACGTGAGAACACATAATATGCACTGATAATGCACTTTTCCTTGAAGTATTTCCCTTTTGAACAGAACAGTGGCAATCTGATCTCCTAAATGTCAAAGCAATACAATTTATTTGGTGCATCTCCTCAGCTGTCAGTAAATACAGCCTTGTCTGAATTATTTCACTCCAAAAAAAGCCAAAGGAAAATGCACCTTCTTTTTGTCCTGCTGCCTCAGATGTCAGAAAACTATCAGAAAAATATGAGATGTTTTCCAAAGCAGGCTGAGCCCCTGTCAGTTTTCTGAAGCTATGTCTGTATGTTTCATCAGTCAGCACCAGTTCTGTGCTCCAAAGTGCTCAGCTGCACTTCCAACCTACTCAGCCAGGAAAGCCAGAGAGCTTTTGAAGAGGCATCCCTTGACAAATGTATCTATGGAACAATTTGCAAACTTTTGGCTTATTCTTTGATTTGAAGTTGAAACATATTTAAATAAATATGCTACATATGCTGAATTGTAAAAACAACAGCAATAATAGTAATAACAAATAATGACAATAATAACTGCTCTGATGGGTAGACTTCAGAGATACAATTTCTACATGTAAATGAGGGAGTCTGCTGGTGCCATTTCTCAAGGTCTGTTATGTATTATTAGTTTAGTGCCTCTGGCACATTCTTCTTGCCCAACCACACCTGCTGTCCACCCAGAGTGATTCTTATTTAACAAAGAGCCTCCTGATCAGCCTCTCTCTAAAGCACTGCATTTCACCTGTAGTCACACCCAGACCTACAGTGCAGGACAATAAAGAAATGATTAACCAGGAAATCGTATTTCCACATGCATGCATATGCCATTATTTTCTCTGCCTCATCTAGAATTAAGGTAAATAAGGATAATCAGTCCCCAGCTGGCTAACGTCATATGATGAAAAAAAAAACCCTCAGCCTACCAAAGCCTGACTCCAGACACCAAACCCCCAAAGAACCTGAGGAAGCAAGTTTGGAACACAAAAGAGATGACAAAGAGCACTCAGTGCAATTTTTTAAAAAATCAAACAAAAACCCCAGTGATACACAGTGTAAGTCAAATACCTGTCATATTTTTCTGTCCAGGTGTCTTCTATGTTTTTAAATCTGTCCTGATCAAATTCAATTTCCCACTGCAAAATATTTATTTCCTGTGGAAACAAAACAAGCTTGCAGCAGCTCATTACAGAGTTCCCATCAGAAGGATGCCAGGGGTGCTGGGCTTGGCAGAGATCTCAGGGGCAATCTGTGACACTGTTAATAACAAATTTGGTACCAGACACCAGAGTTTCTGCATCACTGGCCTATGGACTCTGTTACAGAATTAATGCTTCCAGAGGTTCCACCAAAGATAAAGCCATGCTGCCACATCTCCCTGTCCCACCCCTGTTATGTGGAACAGAACAGTAAGAGCAAGAAAGCCAAAAACTCAGTTTAACAAGGGAGGCTCAATGCCACCTCCTTCGCACCTTCCCTACTAAAACTGGGCACCCATTTCTCAGAGCCCTTGGGCAGCCTCAGCAGAATCACTGAGGAGTTGTGCAGCTCACTCGGAGCAACTGAAATCCACAACAAACCCCAGCTGAAAGCACAGGAAGAGCTCTGGCAATTTTCTGATATTAGTATTAAAGCATGAAAAGGCCTAGATCAAAAGACTGATAAATTAGTATTTCCCTTTCTACTAAAAAGGAACAGAAACTCCTTTAACAAGATCCCTGGAATTAATGTCAGGTATGCACTTATTTAAATAAACAGTCTGATAACCCCCTTTTAATAGCCATGGGCTTCTGTGTGTGAAGGAAACACCCACACTTACCTTCTCTAGAGTCCTCTTTTCTTCCTCAGTTTTCTGAAGCATTGCTTTAGTATGGCTCGTGGCTTTATCAAACACTGCCTGCAAAAGTAACAAACAACCAAAACCCAAAATACAACTCTGCATTTTGTACTCCAGTCAAGTTCTGTGATTAAACTGAGTTAATTCTCAGTTTCACACCTAGAGATGCCCACATTCATAGTTAAACAGCAGCCTGCAGAAGACCAGCAACTCGCTCGTGAGCCCCAGAGGGTTCTGATCTCGAGTCTAACTTGCACAACAAACTTGGGTTTCAATCCCATAACCTCTGCTAGTGATGGTGTAGCACCATTTAACTTGAGACCACATCTTCTTCGGGGCTCGTGCAGGAAATCACACCCTAAAAAACTGGGTTGCAACACACCTGAGCTCTGATCCAGGCCTGCCTTGCTACGAATATCTGAGGGGAGAAACTAGACAACTAGAAATGTGTTATGTAAGTAGGCTAAATCCCAGGAACCAATTTCAGCAGAATTTGTTATGAAAGAGAACAAAAATACTACAAATGGTGAACAAAAGAATGACCTGACATTTAAAGCATACAGATGGAGCAATCAATTCCAAATGCTCATGCTTTGCAGCAGGATTCCGAGCACTGGCAAAATCTTCAATATAAGGGACTAGAAAAAGGCCTTAATTTTATGTTTAGTAGATAAATCCTGAAGGATCCTCAAAGATAAAATTATGAGAATTGCTACAACAGTAAAGCCTTCTTAAATAACACACTAGTTCCAGTAAATTGTAGAGGCAAGTCTGTAGACACCTGCAGACTCAATGATTTAAATTGCAGCCCTGGGAAGGCCTTAAGGTTTTGATGAAGAGTAGCAGAAGATTTACTCTGTTTTCCTTGTTACCACCAAGTGCCAAGTGATTTCTGAACAGCTCCTACCATGCTCTGCAGGATTCTTAGAGCTTCATCTTTTCCTTCAAGCTGTCTTCGAGATGCTTCAAGCTCAACTTTCAAAATTTCAAGCTCCTGAAGCAAAACAAAGTAGATACACTGAGTAAAATCCAAGGTACTTCTGTCAAGATTTGACTGTAAAACCAATGTAAATTTACCCTCTTGAAAAAACAAACCTCTGTTTTACCTGTATGATGTCTTTTCATGGACTCACCTGGGGTTAAAGAACACAGTGCAGATGGAAAGTGTATTTCTACAGCTGAAGTCAGCTGGCTGTGATGCCAACACCTCAACACTTTCAATCACAGTAAAATCAAAATGCACTGTTAACAACAGTACATTTTCTTGTACTTTCAAAAAAAAAATGCAGACTAAAAATACAAAGATTGTTTACACTACAGTTTTTCAAGCCCCAAAGCTTAATAAAACATGAACATTTGCTAGAAAACTACAACAATGCCTTCAATATTCTTTACATCTTTAAAAGTACTTCCTCTGCCCCCTCAAAAAACCCCACAAACAACCCCCCTGGAATATAAAGTCCACCTCACACTACAGTTTCCTCATGTAAAATTTAATGAGGCTTCCAACTCCCACTTTAATTTCAAGAACATGGGTTCATCCAAGTTTTTCAGCATGCCAAATCCTCTTGCTACATTGAAAGGAAATGCAGATTTGGACCCTGGGCACTGTTACCAACCTCCAGAGTGTCCCGAAGTTGTTCCTTTAGCTCTTCATTTGACACTTCAATATTAGATTCTGTAGGATTAATAGAGGAGATTAAATAAGATATTGTAATATTTAAAGAAAAAAATAAAAGTTTTACCCTGAAAACGAGTAACATACAAAGGTGAATTTTCTTCTTTCTCTTGGGGTTTTTTTTTCTTGTGGAGCTAATAAACAGATTTAAGAAACACATCAATACAAACATCAAACACATTGCTTCACAATTAAGGAAGTAAAATGGGGGGAAAAATATATGTTGTAAAGAGACAGAAAGTAAAGGCAAACATTTTATAACTTCCTTTAAAATAAAGCCAACAAAACTGACATCTTGATTAGAAAAATAATTAATTTTTTATGTTATTTTCTGATTGTAACTCTGCAACATCCACGCTCAAAAAAACCAGCTAGCTAGTTTAGAAGTAGAGGCAATTTTGAAGAGACAGAGGTAGCTCAGCTTACTGTGGAAAGGATAACAGGGAAATGTTTAAAGGAGAGAAATAAGCAAGTTACACATAAATACCTTGGTCAAAAGACTCAAATTTGACAGGAAAGCAGCCCGACTGTAATGAACAGCACTGCCCACACCCGATTGTTTTTACAGCAGCATTGCTTTCACAAAAAAGGGAGATGAACGCCAATGCAGGTTCTGAAAACAACTTCCTAACCCCTAAAGTCAGCCAATTCACTCATTTCAAGTAAAGAGCAAGTATGATTTTGAATATTTAGCTACAAGCTTTAGGTACTATCTCTGGGAAGACTCTGACTTACTTAAAGCAGGAATCCAAGCAGTGCCACTCAATTTCATAGACACATCTATACCTACACCCACCACAGGGTGCTCTTTGCTAAATGTCGCTGTCAAATGCAAAATTAAACACTTTAGAACTGGACATTTTACACTAAGAATGGTCACTGCCTTGACCACTGAGAAGCAGTTCTGCTGCTCGTGTTCTGGGAGGAAGGTGGAGGATCCCATCAGGCACCCTGCTCTGAATCCTTCGGAGATTTTGGCAGGTGGCTTGAATTAAACTTGATGACACTTTGTGAGGCAGCTGAACTGCTCACTTTCACTGACAAAAAATTCTTCTTATGGTGAATAATTAACTTCCAAAGCACTCTTACCACAGCTATTCTGTCGTGTGGAACTAGAGGCAGGTTTTTTGAGTGATCCATCGTAAAAGCTGTTTCGTTTTGGACCAGGAAGAGCTGTAGCATCGCTTTCTTCTGCTACCTTTGCCGACAAGGGGGAATTACAAGTCTTTCCAGATCCCTTCCTAGATCTAATTGAGTAGGAATTTTGTAAGTTTTCCCCTTCATAAACACCTCCCGGTCTTCTCCCAAGTCCGTTTCCCAAGTCTCCACGTGTCATGTCATCCTCTTCTTCCTCCATCTTCTCCTCCTGTTTTTTTTTCGGTTTTTTGGTTGTTTTTTTTCTCCTGACTGAGGGCCCCTCACCTACCGGCGAACAGCGCCTCCCGCAAGACCAGATTTTATCTGGAAAAACAGGAAAGCTCCGTGTTTGCAGCAGCCGGGCGGGACGCGAGTGGGAAAGGCGAGGCTGGGGGAGCGCCGCTGCCCCCGCGGTGAGACCCCGGCCCCGGGGGGACACCTGGGGGGGACATCCCCCCTCGGGGACACCTTCCTGGGGGACACCCCCTCCTCCGGGGCCCGCCCGAGCCCCCGACCCACCTGCGCGCCGCGGCCGCGGTGCCGGTCCCGGTGCCGGTGCCGCCCGGGGCGGGAGGGACGGAGCGGCCGCGGGAGCCGCCGGAGGCTGCTCGGAGGGAGGGGTTGGTTTGGTTGCTTTGGCTGCTCTGCTTTGCTCGGTTTGCTCGGTTTGCCCCAGCTGAGCGCTCCGCAGCGCAGCCCCGGCCCCAGCGCCGCTCGGAGCGGCCGGAGGTGACCGGGCGTGTCACTCCAAATGCGCTCGGGGCTGCGGCTGTCCCCACACCCCACAACACCCCACAACACCCTCCACCCCACGGCAGGCCAGCCTCTGCCCGAGCTGACACAATGCCTGGGCACAATCCTCCCAATAAACACGCTGCTTTTCACCGCTTCGGTTTATAATATCATCAAAGTTCTGTCGCAGTGTTGCTCCGCAAGTGCCACCAAAAAAAAAAACAAACCCAAAAAATCAACCCAATAGCAAATCTGGAATAAAAAAGTAAAAACATGTAACAATAACACTCTTCACAAGAGAAATTTTCAATAAAGTTGTTTTACTGTACAAACTCAGGTATGTAAAAGGCTTATAAGTAAGCACTCCCTACAGTCCCTCACAAGGCTGTCTTTCCAAGCTAGAAAAACAAGAAAGGTTTTCTCTTCCTTGTGCAGCCCTGCCCCCCTGGGGCCCAGGCTTTAATAGCAATCACAACAGATCCCCGACAGTGTTTTATTATCTGTAACCACGTTTTGGATCACTGCAAGTCCATCCCGACAAGTGAAGCATTTCCTGGGTAATCTTGCACAGATGCATACATTCCATAACTGGGACAGGAGATGGGAAGACAGAGAAAAAAGGAAAAATAAAGTTTATTGTTAAACACTCCAGACCAGTGCTCACATACCCAGTGTTTCCTTACACAGGAACAAACCTCCAAAACTCTGTGCAATCATTTTAAAATAACTCTCACATCACTTCTTTTCCCTCCAAAGCAAAGGACCCACCTTAACCTGTACCAAACTCTCTCACTCTGCATTACCCTCAGATGCCCAAGACCACAGTGGAGCACTGCAGGTTTTAGTCCCACAACTCAACATAAAACCAACTCCTTTCCTGGATACTGTTCCACCCTCTGGAAATCAAATTTGCCTCAACTGCCACTTATTATCAGGATTTTACAGTTTTCTTACGGGGAATTCATGGTTTGCTTTTAATTTTAAGGTCCAAAGAATTCTCAGTTATTGAACACAACTTCTGCTACTCAGAGCAATTGCCTCATTTCCATCCTTTCAGTCACTTGTATCAGTTCTGCTGCTTCTCAGGGTGCTGTTATAAATCATCACAAGCTGGCTCCTCTGAGCTTTCCTGTACCCCCCAGACAGCTACAGCAAAACTCACGTTCATTTATAATACAGTAATTATGAATATCATTTATTAAACCCTCCCTCCCAAGAAGAGATCCAGCGGTTACTGTTTCACCAAAAGTCAGTTGTTGTCCTTCATCCATTGCTCAATCCATTGCATAATCTGATCCAAATTTCTCTCTAGGTCCTCTGGAGTGTTGCTGGGTAACTGGTGTACAATTTCCCTTTTATATGACAACACAGCTTCCTCATACAGAGTCTGAAAAATTTCACACTGAATGTTGTCCTGCAGCTTCTTCCCCGTGTAGCCCCTAGAGAACAAGAGCACCAAGAGACAGTCTGAGGCACAGAGAAAACAGCGGTGTTTGTTTGAGGATCAGTGATTTCTGCCCTCAGAAAGCCCCGCAGCAGCCCTTTGCTGGCTGCCCAGCCCAGTGACACACCTGCTCTCCAGCCGGTCATACAGGCAGGAGTTCTCCGTGCGAAGCACAAAGACGATGTGGAACCAGCGCTCGGGGAAGAAGTCACAGCCGTGGTAATCCACAATCACCCCTCCCTCACTCATCCTGTCCTCCAGCTCATCTATCACCTGCACAGCGACACGGAGGGCAGGCTCCCCTGGCACTGCACAGCCAGAGCACAGCGGGGAGGGCCTGGGGCTGCACTTACCCTGTCTTCATCCAAAATGGGGCAGTCGTACTCCTCATCAAAGCCTTCATACAGCTCTCCTGCAGCACACAGAGCCCCCGGACGGTTGGTGGGTAGCAGAGGAGTGACCACAATTCATTTACCACAATTAATTTACACTGTTGTGTTTGTCTCAGGAGATTGCAGGCAAAAGGCAGAGTTCAGGGCAGGGAACATGGCACGGATTTGTTTACAAATCCATGTAAGGATAGGTTTGTTATTTATTACTTTGCACCAGGTATGCTGCTACAGACATGTCTACTGAAGGAAATCGATTTAATACACAGAATCCTGGAATGGTTTGGGTTGGAAGGGACCCCAGAGCCCCCCCATTCCCACCCCAGGCACGGCAGGGCCAGCTCCCAGTGTCCCAGGAGCTCCCAGCCCCAATGTCCAGCCTGGCCTTGGGCACTGCCAGGGATCCAGGGGCAGCCCCAGCTGCTCTGGGCACCCTGTGCCAGGGCCTGCCCACCCTGCCAGGGAACAATTCCTGCCCAAGATCCCATCCAGCCCTGCCCTCTGGCAGTGGGAAGCCATTCCCTGTGTCCTGTCCCTCCATCCCTTGTCCCCAGTCCCTCTCCAGCTCTCCTGGAGCCCCTTTAGGCACTGGAAGCTCTGAGCTCTTCCAGAGCCTTCTGCTCTCCAGGTGAGTCCCCCAGCTGTCCCAGACAGGAGTGCAGGGGCTCCCAGTGCACCAGACACCCCCAGCAGAGCCACACGAGCGTGTCCCCGTGCTCAGGGGACTGCTGTGACACAGCACCTTCCTTGGCCAGGTCCCCCACGTTGATGTAGCTCAGCCCAGCTCTGGATGCCAGCTCCTTTCCCAGCGTGGTTTTCCCAACTCCCGGAGTGCCTGGAGACCAAACCCACAGCACAAGGTAAGGGGAGAGCTCGCAGGTCCCCTCCAACACCCCTCACCAGGGGAACTGCAACCTTCTGAAAGCTCACACTGGAGAGGTCACGGGATGAAAAAGGGACAGAAAGGTGCAGGACAAAGAGAAACGGGAGAGCGAAACAGAAAAACAGGGGGAGAATTCTGACTGTGTGCAGGAAAGTCATTCACACCGCGAGGGTTCGAAGGGCAATCTCCATATACTTGAAAACCAGCAGGTAATACGGGGGAGCCCCACGTTCTCATGAAGGACTGGAGCTGCAAAACCTCCCCCCGCTGGGACCCCACACCCCAGATCAGCCCGATTGCTGCCTCACAACCTAAACCACCCCGGGCTGTGATGGGGCCGGGGTAACAAACCCCAAATCCCTCCATGCTGGGACTCCACGCCCCGAATCACCTCGGGCTGGGCCAAGGCCGGGACCCCAGGTCCCCAGTGATCCCAGGCCTGGACCTCACACCCCACATCACCCCGGGCCTGGACCCCACAGCAGCCCGGTCTGCGGTGTGGGCCGTGCCGTGCCCCGCGGTGCCCCCCGGTGCCCACCGGTGATCAGCAGGTTCGGCCTCCGCATGGCCGCCGCCCGTCGCCTTGGAGACACGTGCGCGGGGGCCTCCGCCGCCGCCGCGCGCGCCGATGGCGTCACCGCGCTGCCCGGCGCGGCGCGGACAGCTAAGAGCCGGCGGGCAGGAAGGACCCCGCCCAAGGCGCCGTGTGAGGGGACGCGGCCGCGCCGGGAGCGGAGCCCCGAGAGCTCCCCGAGACCGCCGGGCACCGCGTCCCGGGGCACCGAGCCACACCCCCGGCCACACCGCGGCTCTCCCGGAGCGCCGAGTCCCAGGCCCCGACGTCGGATCTCCGCCTGGGCCCGGCGGGGGCAGCGGGAGGGCCCCCCCGGCCGAGGATGTCCGGCAGCGGCCCAGGAAGGCCGGCGGAGGTGGGTGTGAGCAAGGGGCTCTCGGCGGCCCGGTCGTTCCTCTGTGGTCTCTGTCTCAAGTAGTCTCAAGGCCTCTTGTCCTTTTTCACTGGGGGTTGTTCTGACTTTTACTAAAGAGAGATTTGGTTTGGTGTCACTTGAAGCGACCCTCCCCTTTCAAGGGGGCATCGCGGGTGGCTGTGCAAATTCGGCCTAAATTCGGTGTGTGTGACAGTAACGGTGCCGGGCACGGTGCGAGGTGCCCGAGAAGGTGCGGGAGGAACCCCAGAACCTCGTGTAGCCCTGCAAACCGCCCCACAGCCCCCCGCTTTCCAAACCCCTCAGAGACGGCTCTGGGTGCAGCTGGGTCCGGTGCCAGCCCCAGAGCTGGTCGGTGGCTGGTGTGGACAGGATCCTGCAGAGGTCACCGAACCTCACACAGCCTTGTCCTGCAGGATCGAGGCTGCCAAACCAGATGCATTTATGCGAGTGTACTTGATAATGATTGGAGAAAGAGATTTTAATCAGTATTATTCACTACACAGTACAGGCGCTATAACCAAGGCACTGTAACCACTGCTGTTGTGGAACAACAGCTAAAATGTGAATATGCTTTATGAACAGTGGAAATACAAAGTAAAGGCTGGCCTTGATGATCTTGGAGGTGCTTTCCAGCATTAATGATTCTGTGATTCTTAGCACTGAGGCAATTGTATTAAAGCCAGCAGAAACAATTACAGTACTCACCCAAGCTGTGTGCGTTTGGCTCAGCCTCAGGCAGTGACCCTGAGATCACATCATCCCCACTCCAGAAGGAATCCCCACACCCACCAAGGAGGGAAATGTCAGGAGACGCTGCCTTTAAAATCTGGGACGGTGTTTTTGTGGTCTGAAGTGCTGCCCTGTCAGTCAGATGTGCCCAGGCCGTGCCAGCTCAGCAGCTCTGCAGAAGCTCTCAGTGCTGGCACTTGGTTGTTCCTTTCTCTGGGCATTTTACCAGCTTCAGCTCCCTCTCAGGATGTTGATGTCTTTGGGATGGAGGAGTCAGCCTGGTTTCAGCATTATTCACCCCAAAAGCAGCATGACAACCCTCCTGTATTTCCCAGTGGGGGCTTTGCAAGCAGGGCCGTGCTGGAGCTGTTTGAGCCCATTGGAGACAGAGCCTCCTGCTACACACAGCTCTGAGTGTCCTGTCTGCCAGCTGCAGTGCTGGTTTAGAGTTTTCACAGCCCTTTTGGGGGATGCTGTGTCTGCTCTCACATGTCCCACACGGAGGGGCTGCCACAGGACCCCTGTGCTGTTACTTGGGGGTGAGTCTGCCGCCCTGTCCCAGCAGGGTGTTCCTCAAATCCAGAACTTGCTGTTGCCAGCAGTGTTGCTTGTCCTGGCATGGGCTCTGGTTCAGCCCAAGCTGTGCAGAGCAGCAAACACTCCCTGATTTTACTGTGCTGCCTCAATAACTGTCCTCTGCCATCTCTTCCTAACTTTTATGCACAAATGGTTGCACTGTAGATACTTTTAAAAAGGGGACAAAAAGTGCCACATACTGAACACTGCACAGAGACAGTGTGAACATTGCCATCATGTAAAAGTGGTCTGAGTAAGCTGACACTGCTTTTTCATTCTGTTTTGATTCTTTAGGTTGGATGTGCATTTGTGGAGTTCTCAACTTGTTCTGATTTGCCAGTTTGCTGCCAAATACTCCTGGCACAATAATGCAGCTTTTTTTTTTAATACAGAACAACTGTGGAACCCCAGACCAGTTGTAGTTAGGACGACCTTAAAACCACCCAGCCCCACCCCGGCCATGGCAGGGACACCTTCCACTGTCCCATGTTTCTCCAAGCCCCGTCCAGCCTGGCCTTGGGCACTGCCAGGCATGGGGCAAGGTACATTTGATAAATTTGATAAAAATCTCCCATTTTCTACAGATAGCTGTGCCCAGCGGAGGGGAGGAGAGCGCTGCATTCCTCCTCAAATATTTGTGTTTCTGCAGGTGACAGACTGGCTGTCACAGCCGTTTGATGACTTCTTTGGAAGCCCAGGCATTGCCCCCTGTACGGTTGCTGTCAAGGCGCTGAGGGGCGGCTCTGGCAGGGGCCGTCGGCAGAAGCAGAGAGACCCGAGCCCCGCGGCAGAGAAGAGCAGAGCCACGGCTCCTCCCAGGAAAAGAGCCAAGCCGTGCGCTGCGGACCCGCCCTGTGCCAGGCCTGGGCGGAGCCGGAGCCAGGCCCGGGAGGAGCTGCCGTGGGTGGAGAGATACCGACCTGAAAGCCAGGTGTGCGAGCTCCTGCAGTGCCTATCTAGTGGGGACACCGCTGGGACACGTTGTGCTTCTGTCCACAGCCTGCAGCAGCCAGGCTCTCACCATGCCCTGTCTGCTAAAGCACAGGGTTATGGGTCACTGATTCACTGTCAATGCTGATCGATTCACTGCCAGCCAGTGCACGAAGCCACGCCCCAGGGAGCACGTTCCCCCAGGCTTCCTGAGCAGCTTCCTGCTCAGGAGATGTTTCCTGTCAGTCCATCTGTAAACTCTTGAACCTGTGACTGAATTGTAGTACATCCAGTACTCCAAGCACTGAGGAGACCCAGCTATGTGGGATTTGCAAAAGTTCCAAAAACCTCTGCAGTACTGGAGTAAAGAAAGTAAAAAGGACTATCTCCAGCAATAGCTATGAGGTATCCTGACACAGACAAGACTGAAGTGTTATCGCTTAAAGAATAATAAATAACTCATTATTTCCCGACTACAAAGAATGGAAAACTGATTGTTTGAGGAAACAGGATGAGATTATCATCCTTAGCTGTGGCACTGCTTCTGCAGAGCACACACGTAACTGAAGCACACACCAACATGTCTCCTGATATTTTATCCGGCGTTTATTCTATTCTTTAATTTCATCATTAGAAACCAAGAGTTCAGTATATAACTTTCACATATTTTAACCTTGTTTCAGAATGACCTTGCTGTGCAAAAGAAGAAGATTGAGGAAGTTGAAACCTGGTTAAAAACATACATATTTCAGAGGCAGCCAAAGCAGGTAAACTTGCTAAAATCATCAGACCATACTATCGAGCTGGATGCAATTTCAGGTTCAGAGAACTGAGAGAGATAGCAATTCTGTAGCTTCTGCATTGTAGGAAATACCCTAAGAACATAGGTTAGAGCTTGTGCATTTATTTTGGGCTTATGTTCCTAAGAGGTGGATTCTGTTTTTGCTCAGAAATACTGTTTTCTGGCATCCAGTCATAAATCACAACTCCTCAGTATGTGTTTGAAGCTGCATTTTATCTCTGCCATGTTAATTTTTAAGTCTCATGACAAATTTCCAGCTGCACTGAGTTGGTGTAAGGGTGGTGAGGATGTTCTTAATCTTGGCTGATAAGAAGTGTTCTGAGACACAAATTGCCAGCCTGGCCTACTAGAGCTGGCTCTCCAGAGGAATGTCTGTCGTGTTGGCAGTCACATGCAGTTTATTTACCAGAGGCATTAGGAGCAGAGCAAGGCTCTCAAGAGTCCTGGCCTGGTTCTCTGAGTACTCAGCAGGTAAATTTACAGCACAGAATGTGTGACTGGGGTTTCACTGGGAGAGAGGATAATTACCAGAGAAACTACAGGAGAAATTCAACCAATATTCATCCTTAGCCAACTGTCAGTCTTTATTTATCACATTTGTGATCATGTTTTGTATCTCTGTGGCAGGGTGGCTCTGTCTTGCTGCTTACTGGCCCTCCTGGCTGTGGAAAAACTGCGACTCTGCAAATTCTAGCCAGAGATCTTGGCCTTCAGGTGCAAGAATGGACCAATCCACTCTCTTTAGACTTCACAAAGGAAGACTTGAGAAATATGTTTGGCCATGGTAAGTATGTTGAAGGATTTTATTTTTACCTTTTTTTTTCCCCCCCTCCAGTTACTTTTGTGCGTTTTTGATCTTGTATTTTTGCTTAGTTTCTGTCTGTCACATATGAAAGCAGATCTACATCCATGTGAATCCATTCCTTAGTGTTCAACGAGAATCTTTCTGTTGCTTTTATCTGGAAAAGGTTTTGGGCTTTTTTACAGTCTTTAGTCCAAAATAATTGACAATTCAAATACAGAATAGAGAGCTCTGTAATAGCCTGGATATAATTTGAACCAAATAAATGAAAACAGGTAAGTGTCTTTGTCTGGGTCCTCAGTTGAATTACACCCCAAACAATATGTTTGTCATATGTTTGCCAAAGAGCTTGTTCATTGCTGCTGTCAGAAAATAGCATGGGTGGGTATTAGTTCATGTGGGTATTTATGTTTTACTTGGTGTAATATAGAATACATATTTTTAATTAGTTTTCTCTTTCAGACTCAAATTTTCATACGTTTCCGAGTCAGGCCCAAGCAGCTCTCTTTCAAGATTTTCTATTAAGAGCAAATAAGTATAACAAACTTCAGATGCTTGGGGAGTCCTCAGAAAATGATAAAAAGCTTATTCTTATTGAAGTAAGTGAAAACTTGTGAAATGTTGTGTTTCAAACAGTACCTTTTGTTGCAATATTGACGTGCTGACTACCTTCAGATACTTAATTGGTGTTTGCCAGAGTTAGTCTGCTTTACTGCAGATGAGATTTTCGCTACTTTTTGTGTCTCTGCAGCAGTCCAGAGCCACATCCTACCTGTAGTTAGTTATGCCACAGAAGCAAGTAGTCAGGCAGAAATAGGAGTCTGGTTTGAGCACAGAAGTACATAACAGAGTGTCAGAAAGTAGAGCAAGCAATACTGAGAAGTCATTCCCATGTTTCTGGATGATTAAGTTTCTGGAAATATATATGTGTATAAACAGGAAGAGTGGCAAGCACACCACTATTCCTGTTCTTCAATGATGCAGGAGAGTGTAGGGGACACATGAGAATGAAGACAAGCAGGAACAGTTGAAATTTAGCACTTTCTCCCTGCTTTTACACAGGTGGTGGTGTTGAGGGCAGAAGTGTAAGCTGAGGGTTTGTGGGCAGGTACAGGACAAGTCTTTATTTGTATTTGTGTAGAAGTGTCTTTCAATAGCTATTTCTTTCTGAACTTTTCAATTCTTTTCCTGAGTGAAATTTTAGAAATCAGTAGTCAGATTGTCTGTAAACTTTCAAGACCAAAAGAGACAGAAATTCTAGCAGGGTAATGCAGTGTACTGTAGAATTTAGGAAGCAGAATCTCATGAGACTTGTCTTTATAAAGGCAGCTTCTTGTGGAGGTCCTGTCACACCTCACGTGGGTATCGTGCCCTCCTCCCCAAGGGAGCTGCTTCCTGGGGTGTTTGTTCTCTGGGCAAAACTCTTGTTCACAGGCTGTGTGATCACCCAGGGCTGTGTCTTAGGAAACTGTGACAGCAAGAAAACGCTTCTTTGCAGATGATGGTTTTCCATAATGAGACATACTGTGCGTTGGGCTTGTTTCCTCTGCTGCTCCTCTGTCTGTCTCCAGCTGTGTTCTAAGTGTAGCTGACAGCAAGCAAACCAGGAGCTAAAACAACGTGGCAATGTAGAGTGCCATGACAATCAGTCTGTGCAGGAGAGTTTTACATCTGAATGTAATGACAGCAGCTCTTTGTTTTGGGCAGGACATCCCGAACCAATTCTACCGAGACCCTGGCAGTCTACATGAAATCCTCAGGTCAGTGGCAAACAAGTTGTTAATTATGAGCTTTAGAAACTTGCAAAGCTGGAGTTCATCACATTTTGCTGTTTTGCAATGCAGGAGTTTTGTTCGTAGGAGTAGGTGCCCCCTTGTCTTTATAATCTCAGATAACTTCAGTGGAGACAGCAGCCAGAGGTCACTATTCCCCGCAGATATTGTAGAGGAGTTGTGTATATACAATATTAGGTAAGATCTTCTACCTCATTAAGACATGGTTCAAACAACTGAGAGGTTAGAAACTAATTTTTTTTTTTAATGGAATTCAACAGTTTCAAGCCTGTTGCACCAACAAATATGATGAAAGTTCTTAATCGAATAGCTGCAGCAGAAGCCAGTATGGTAAGTTGTTGAAGCTCATAATTTCTGTGCAGTGCTAGGACCATATAAAAAATGGGTTTTTTGTTACTGTACTTGATCTTTGAAAGCAGAGCCCCTCATCTCCCCAAGGCAAAAAACATTTTCCCCGACAACAACAAAAAGCAAGGAGCAAGCTGAAAAGATACCTTGTTTTTAAGATGAGTTTCACTTGATCTGTGGTCTAAGTCTACAAAGTTGCTCCTGAAAATTCGTCTGGTAATTAGAATAACTGTATAAATGAAACAAATAATAGGAAGAGATACAATCTTTCACATATCCAACTGGCCAGAAGAGGTCATGAACCTAAATCCTGTATTGTCCCTGAACTGTTTTGATTACAAGCAAGTATCATATTGAGTCACACCTTGCAAAGAGTTATGTGTATTTTCTCTTTAATATTGTTGTATAAATTGTGACAGTGTGCTTTAAAGGTCACAGTATTCTGTGGTTTGAGCACACGGTGGATACTCTTGTGTCTGTTGCAGGTGTGTGAGAGGTTGGTTCCCAGAGCCATGTTCAAATAGTCCTTTTCTTGCTCTTCTATTGCTTTAATGCTGGTTTTCCTTGTAGAACAGAGAGAAGAATTATGCCCTTGATAGAACTTCTCTGGAGTTGCTTTGCAGAGGTTGTTCTGGTGACATAAGAAGCGCAATAAACAGCCTTCAGTTTTCCTCTATGAAAGGTAAAAATTATGGTTTTATTAAGTGATATTTTGAGCATTTCTGCTGAAAACACGTTCTGTTCACAGTTGCAGCACAGGTGGGTGAGTTGCAAAAACATTCTTGACACGCTTCTGTGGAGCAGGAATAAACACAGAGTGTGTGGGGGCGTGACTGGGGCTCAGCTGCTGCAAGCTGGGGTTAAACCATGACATCTGTGTATGTGCTGATGTAATTTGATCAAGTACCCTCTTCCTGATGTCTTTGCTATTTGTGTTTGCTGTTCAGAGTTTCTATGATGCAGAAACTCTTGGTTTGAAAGGGATGCTTTCATTGCTTGGTTTTTGCCTTTCCTAAACTGCTTATTTTATGAGCATTTTACAGTCAGTAATGGTTAAGGAACCAATGTCTGTGAGTTGCATTTTTAAAAGCAGTACTCTGGCATGTGTTGTTCATTCTCAGGACTGCAAAATGGTGGCATCATTTACGTTAAACTTAGAGCTAAGGAAACAGGCTCATCAATTGTCTTCTGCTATATGTGGTAGAGCTGGCAATGGTATTGTTTCTGTCACACATTTTTTCCTCCTATTTGCTTTGCAAATACCAAATGTGCTCACGGAATACAAGATTAAAGGTAGTTTCAAGTCCATTTTTAAGAGGGAGTGTTGTACTTTTCTAATTTTAGGGTATATTGAAGTTAGCTGGGCAGCGTTAGTTGTATTACACGAGGGAGAGAGTAAAGTTTCTACCGTTAACTTGCAGACATTGAAGGTCAACTGTTCTGATGATGTCTTCAGGTGTAGCAAGCTTGGGTTGTTCTGTGTGAATCAGAAAAGCAGAGGATTGCTCTCAGTGTGGTGATTATGCCATTAGTATGAGTGGATATTAGATTGGTGATATCTGAGAGAAGCATGCAGTGTCTCACTGCTGGATACATCCTCCAGAAAATCTAAATAACGTTAAAATAACCAGTTTGTGTAACTTTTAATAAATTACCATGGTTAACTTAACCATGGAGTTAGAGCTGTGGAGAAAACAAAGGCATATGACTTCAGAGCTTCTTGTACGTGGACTGCTGGAGTCACAGCACACTGAACATTCTCCTCTCACGTTTTCTCTGACACTGGGAGCGTGTTTGAGCAGAACAGCTTTAGTTGTGCAGGTATTCCAGTGAGGTGAAGCGTGATGCTGCCAGTGATACTCTGCAGGTTTGGGGGACACCCTCTCTCCTTGCTCGTCTCCTGAGCGTGCAGCACTTGTTTTTATGTGTGTAAGGTGTGTTGAATCTTGATGTGTGTGTCTACACAAGCGCAACTGATACATTCACTTTGTAACACTATTACAAATAAAATAGGGTGAAATAGATCCACGGTGATTGTGGGAGAAAAGAAAAATAAATACCTAATGGAGAATTTATCTTAGCTCAATAAGGAACATTCAAATGCCACAAAATGAAATTGTGGGTGAAATTTTTCAAGTTTATTAACTTAGACTAGAATAAGGATTTTATTTCATGAAGCTCCAAACTGTGTGGAAGATATTAGGCAGTTGGAAGAATCACCTAAATGAAAGGTTTTCTTTGCCACTTCATTTTCCAGGGAGGTTATTGTACAGTTAATGCCAGTAGAAGACAAACTTGATAAGTAAACAGGATGTAACTGAAATAACAGGATGTAACTGAAATATAATTTACATACATTCATTTGTACTTGTGCTTTATAAACATGAAAATCTAAACATGGTCAAGTGGGGAATGCATCAGAACTAGAAGGGGTAAGCCTGAATGCTTTTTTCAAAGACAGCTGTTTATTGCTCAAAAAAGTACTTGGTATCTCAGCTGTGGCTTAAGGGACAGAAGTGGAATGAAAGTAATGAATGATGCTAATTTAGGCGACTGGGTTGTGTTCCTAATAAATGAGTTTTCTCATAGGGCTCCCATTTATATAGCCTGTTCTGTTCTTTTTATTAGTACTGTTTGTTCACATAGAACATTAGCAGTAGCAACATAATAGAAAACTTCTGCAGAATCATGCACTGTGTCTTGATTTTATTTTTGATTTTATTGATAGACTGCTCATTGGAGAAAGAATTTTGGTCAAAGAAGAAGAAGAGCTCCACAATAAAATGTGAGGAAGTTTCCAAAGTAAGAAAGAAAAGTAAATGTGATACCTCAGAAGACCAGGAGATACAAGCTATTGGTGGCAAGGATGCATCCATTTTTCTTTTCCATGCTCTGGGAAAAATTATCTATTGCAAAAGTAAGAAAACTTTGACTTGTTCCCCCTTTCACTGGGCAAAGAATGTCAGCTGCTACTAGCTGGAGTTGCTAAAGTAAGGCTTTGGATGGCCTCTGGGGTGTTTGGTCAGTAACAGTCGTATAAAATCTGCTAAATTGGAGTCCCTAATGCCACTGGCTGTGCATATTTTAGTAGTAACTCACAATTACAAAACCAGCCGAGAAGAAGTAGTGAGGTGAGGGAATACAAAAATAATTTTATTACATTTCTTATATGAAACTTAATGCAGCTAATTGGGTATTGATGACTGTGTGATATTGGCTATAATAATTAAGTACCTAGTACCTGTGCCTCTCCCAGGGCTCTCTGGGAACGGAGAATCTGTAATTTTGCTACTGCTGGAGCTGACAGTTGCTAACAGCATTTCTGAACATACAGACTAAAGCCTGTGCAATCCTTTTCAGGAGAAGCAGTGTCAGAAGCAGAGTGCCCTCAGCTGCCTGCTCACCTGTCCAAACACCGCCGGGACACCTTGCTCATTCAGCCTGAGGTACTCCTGCAATGGCTTCACGAGTTCAGAGGGTCCTGAGGGACTGGAGCAGATACTCAGCCACATGGCTTTGGTCACTGGTCTCAGCTGGTGTGCATACAGAGTTAGAGAATCACTCATCTGGAAGGGACCACTGGGGCAAACCAGCTCCTTGTGTCTGGGCATCAGGGCACAGACCTTGTGTTCCAGCTCCCTAGCCTAGCTGCATCACAGCTTTCCATACACAGCATCCTTTTCCTTATCCACCTGTAAAATCCAAACTTTTCTTCTTCCTGACAGGATATTGTGGAAAAATCACATATGTCTGGAAGCATGTTCAATCTATACCTGCACCAGAACTACGTGGATTTCTTTTCTGATATAGATGATGTAGTGAGGGCCAGTGAATATCTGAGCACTGCTGATGTCCTTTGTAGTAACTGGAGTGTAAGTGTCATCTTTTTATAGGCCCACACTTGTTTTTAAGTACTTTGACATTGAGCCTCTTGACTTTTCGCTGCGTTTTGGAAAGTTTGCTGCAAACTTAGGGTGTGAGTGACATGAACTGTTAAAGAATGCTTAAGTACATCATCTGCAGAAGAGATGCAGAGCCAACGTTTTGTCCAGCTTCTGTCAGCATTTTACTACAGTGGGTTGTAGTGCTTGTAGGATATTTTGCAAAGTATATTTTGAGTAGAATATGTTTGTGCTAAGGAATCAAGCTGTTTGATTTTTCTCAGCTGCTTTCAATACAGGCTTTGCAGTAATCTAAACTTAAAAATGCTGTGCATGTCATGCCACTGCAGCTACTGAGTGTGTTTCAGTGCAAATGAGCTCACACAAAGCCCCATTTCTCTCTCAGACACGGCTTGTGATGGAGAGCTACAGTGCCTCTGTGGCTACCCGAGGGGTGATCCACTCCAATACATCCAGAGCCTTTGCACACCAGCAGGGGGGCATGGGGTTCCGACCCTTGCATAAACCCCAGTGGTTTTTGATCAATAAGAAGGTAAGTCCTGGATTTTATTTTTTCTTAATTCTTTTTTCCCCCAAGTGTGACTGTTGAGTAGTATGGATGAAATTTGATTACAGCTTGTAAAATACCCTATTTTGAGATAATCTGGTTCTATAAAGCACTTGCTAGAAGAGCAGTTTGCGTCACTCCTTTAATGTAAAAATAAATTGGAGGCCTCTGACAAAGTGTGATGCCTGTGTCCAAGCTGACATGTTCCTGGGAGACTCTTAATCCTAAATTAATAGAGAGACAATTGGAATTGAAATACTAGTAAGTATTTCTAGAATTGAGTTTGGTTTTGTGCAGCTTGAAGCACACTGAACTGTTGTATAAGTGTAAGTGTTGTATAAGTGTAAGAAATTCCTGCTGCTGCAGTTTATGTGTTTATCAGAAACAGCTTGTTCAGGTGATACAGCAGGTCTTGGCATGTTTTTACATTTGAACTAATATATTGGCAAAAAGCATTGGCGTGGATTGTCTGGGAATTCTGTAATCAAAGAATTTTTTTTTTTATTTTTTTTAAATTTTAATGCCTAGTAAAAGGCAAAGTTGAAGAATCGTACCATTTTTATGATTGGTATGTTAAATGCTTACCTTTTCTTTATCTGGACTAATTTTTCAGTAGCTCTGTGTAGCAGGCAGGAAGAAAGTCTGTGTGTTATGGTACAGAACATCTACATTCATGATGGTTTACCAGGCTTTTTACTTGTGTTTCTCCCCCCTCCCAACTCTTGCAGTATCAGGAAAATTGCCTTGCTGCAAAATCTCTGTTTTCAAGCTTCTGTTTACCCCCCGAGTGCCTTCAGACAGAGCTGCTGCCTTATCTTGCTATGTTAGCAAACCCAATGAGAAACCAAGGTAAGGTGGATCAAGGTAACTCTTGATCTTGGGCTCTTTTTGCAATTGAAACATACTGACAAATTTCATAAGCTGAAAGGTCAATACTGTTTATGCTTTTGCCTCAGTATAAAACATTCTGCTGGTAAATGTTATGTAGGTGATGCCCAAAGATGCTTCCAGTACCACAGCCAAAATTAAAGCTGCCCTGTCAGGTTGGTCAAACTTCAGTCATTAAGGTGCTCTCTAGGCTTAGGACTTTTATTATATTTGCTGGAGGATTTGATGAGAGGAGATTTGGAAAACCAAGTAGGCAATATTGATTAGATCTTCATTGCTTACTGAATTCCACTAACAGCAGCAGACTTACAACACCTCAAAAAGCCTTTCACAGATAAAAGAAGCAAAATTCAAGTTTGCAGTGCATTAAAAAAAGAAAGTTAAATCTGAGATAATCCATTAGCAAACAGTTGATGCAGAAAAACCTACTTTGTGTGGTACATAATGCAAAAGGTAGTATTTGGAGAGCTGGGTCACTTATGCTATTGTTAAAGGTTTTTAATAAAAAGCATCATGTCTTAACTAAGGCGTCAAGATGAGTGAATTTTGTAGGCTGTGGAATAATAGCTCTGCATGATAAATACACAGGGGATGAATGTCAGGGATCTGGAATTTTGTGTGTAAGCCATCTGTAAATATATTGCAGTAACAGTTCGGGGGAAGAAAAAAGTTACACACATGGTGTTTCAGTATCTAAAATATTTCAAATATATACAGGAATACTCGACTAAGGTCATTGTTTTCCACTATGTTCAACTGTCTGTTCATTATAATCTACCTAATATGATACTGGTGGTTCTTTGTTCTTAGCTCAGATTGCTTTTATCCAAGACGTGGGGAGGCTGCCACTGAAAAGACATTTTGGCAGGTAAGCTGAACTTCTTTCTGTGGTTAAAAAAAAGTGAGACTGTGTCATGTATGGAGGGGAAGAACCCTTTCATTACACGGGTAGGTGATGTGACATTCAAAGACAAAGTATTTTTAAAAGTTCATTTAGTGAGTTGTTTAATCTAAAATTAGATGGTTGCACTGGTTTAATCATGTAATAGTTTTGCCTATAAGGCTGCTTAAAATAAACCTTTCAGAATGCATGGTTTTTCATAGGCTCTAGCTACTGATTGCTGAAAACCCAGGGTTTTTCCCTGTGAGACTGCAGTGGCCTCCTCACAGGCTGTGTGTGCAATCTCAGGGGTGGCATGGCATGAGGAGCTCTGCTGTGACTCTTGTGAGCCCTCTAAATCAGAGACTTCATTTACCCCAGCAGAGTCTCTGTTACACTTCTAGAGCTGTGATACCTCTGGAATTTAAGAAGTGCTTTAATTGGTGAGTTTCTAGCTAAGAATCAAGGTCACATCTGCAGTGAGACAGACTGTCATCTCACAACCAGGACACAGTTTGTTGAGGCATCTGACAGAGCATCTCCTATTTGTCCCTGGTGTTGCTGCTGAGTTTAAGTGTGAATTTCCAAGCACCACCCTGTTCCCCAGCTGTTGTATTAAAAGCCATGTTGGTTGTGGTCAGGGAGGAAGGAGGGTGTCCCTAAGGGCTGTATTTCTTTGTCATTGCCCTGGTCTGCGCCACAAGGTGTGAAGCTTCTCAAATTAATTGTAACTTCCTCATCCCTTTTAAGTTTCCCTGCAGCATACCTGTGGATACTGCTGACATTTTGTATCTGCAGTAATACGTTGGTGGGGTATCACAATGTCTGATCTGAGGGGTGACTTCCTGCTGCAAACACCGTCATCCTTTTCCATCTGTTCAGTGTGCAGGAACCGTAGGTAGAGAGAAATGCAGGTATTTGCCTCCCTCATTGGTTCTGATGGAGAGCAAACTGTGTTACTGAGCATTCCCAAAGTGCCTCAGTGGGAGGGAATGGGGTTCTGCTGGAGCCCTGGCAGCGGGAGCAGCCGTGTGCCCGTGGTCACGGTGCCTTGCAGGCTGGTCACGTGTGCGCTGGTGCCTTGCAGGCTGCAGCTGGAAGCTCTGGGTGACAAGGAGCCCGGGCTGCCGCTCCACGGGGACGGTGCCGACGGCGACGCCGAGGGGCTCCCCTCCAGCCAGTCCAGCAGCAGCGACCTGCCTGGCAGCCAGCCCCAGCCCATCGCAGCACAGGCCATCCTGGAGGAGGAGGAACTGCGGATCGAGGAGTATGACAGCGACTGAGAGAGCGGGACACTCCCTCTGCCGTGCCCGCGCGGATCCCGGCGCTGCGAGGCACTGCTGAAGAGCGTGCTCTGCCCAGCGCTGCTGCCGAGCCATGCACGAGGGCTGGGAGCCCAGGAGGGCTGGCAGCCCAGTCCAGACCTGCCGTGAGTGGCCAGACAGTTCCTGGTGTCCTCCTCACTCTGCAGGGCCAGCCCGAGCCCAGTGCTAAGGTACAAGCTATTTCCTGCCTCTCCTGAGCCGTGAAATTGCCTTAGGGCAGTAACAAGAGAGAAATAAATGACTGAAATCAGTTTGAAAGGGACTGTAGATTAGCAGTGTCAGTCTTAAATTATCTTTATTTTTACACATTTTAATATACTTTGCAATTGTGCAGTGTGTTTCTTGAGCACACATGCCTTAGGTTGTCAGCATTTGAAAGGTTTATTCAAATTCACTCTTTCAAAAAAACAATTGTTTGGAAGTTTAGCCCTTCTGGAAAGAAGAGGCTGAAATTTACACCTGAAAAGTCTGATGTCCCATACTGATGATGTAAAGAAAACTTCTACTGTATCAATACTGTTTTGTACTCTGACTTACAGAAGACATAAATAAGATCTTCATGTCTTTATAAGTGGAACTAATGTTGTACCATGCATTATTTTGTATTCCCCTTGGAAAGATATTTTCATAACTTTTAGAGGGGAAAAGGCAGCAACTAAGCAGAAGTTGTACTTTGTAGGAAGTTAAATGTATAATGTGCCGTTTTTCTCCTTGACTTGCAGTTGTGCTGGGGGAAACACTGATCCTGTGTTTGGTAACTGACACTGGATCGAGTGCTGTGGTTAGTAATACCACAGCAGTGAGGAAAAAAGTCAAACCAAAACAGCTTTGTGTGGTGCACGTTTGCATTTCTGTATTGCTTATGGCCAGTTTTGACAGAGAGAACACGTTTATCCACCCTGACCTTGGATTAATGCTTTTAAAGAGTCTGAATCTGTCCTCTCTCAGGGGACAGGTGTAGCCTTTTCATCTAACAGCTATTGCTTCATTTTGAAGGGGGAAACTTCTCTCTTAAGTCTAAAATTCTGTTACACCTGTACTCATTACAGCAAATGAGAATGTCCTTGGCTGTTGATGACCATTAACCCTTTTCCTCCTCCACAGGGTGCTTTGGATGGGCTGTTCCTGGGGTGCCTCCAGCACAAGTAACAGAAGGGCACAAAATACTGATTTTTATCTTGCAGGCACACCCACACCCTCCTTTGTTGTATCTTTTCAGCTTTCTTTACAGCAGCACCAGATAACTGCAGCTGCTGTGTTGGCCTTTTCCTTGTTAGGGCAGAATTCAGTGCTCAGATGGCACTGTGAGCTACAGCTTGCAGAGCTGTTGTGCTCTGTCACATGAAAACACCACCTGGGCACACACACAAACCCCCCATTATTCTGTTCGGAGCCTGAGTGTTTTGCAGTGCTAGTGCTGCCCCATTAAAGCCAGTCCCCAATTAACAGCACATCAGGTGAGGCCGAGGTCGGGGCTGGCAGCACAGGCAGGTGCAAGAACGAGTGTCAGTGCAGCCCCCCTGCCATTTTGGCTCCCTGGGCACTGTCCCAGGTACAAGGTGGGGAAAGAAGAGAACTGGGCTTCAGATAGGGGTGAAAGGGACATGGGGTGCTGGTCAGCAGTGATTGGACATGAGCCAGCAGCCTGCCCAGGTGGTCAAGATGACAAATGGCCCCTGGCCTGGATCAGGAATGGTGTGGCCAGCAGGACCAGGGCAGGGATTCTTCCCCTGTGCTTGGCACTGGTTGGGCAGCACCTCGAGTGCTTTGTTCAGTTCAGGGCCCCCAATTTAGGAAGGCTGTGGAGGGGCTGGAGCGTGTCCAGAGAAGGGCAGGAAGGCTGGTGAGGGGCTTGGAGCACAAGTGAGGAAGGGCTGAGGGAGCTGGGGGTGTTTATCCTGGAGAAAAGGAGGCTCAGCACAGACCTCATCACTCTCTTTCAGCTCCCTGAAGGGTGGCTGTAGGCAGCTGGGGGTCGGGCTCTTTGTCCTGGCAGCCACCGGCAGCACGAGAGGAGACAGCCTCGAGCTGCACCAGGGGAAGCTCAGGCTGGACATCAGGAAAAAATTCTTCACTGAAAGAGGGACTGGGTGCTGGGATGGGCTGCCCAGGGGGGTGCTGCAGTCACCATCCCTGGAGGGGTTTATGAAAAGACTGGACGTGGCACTGAGTGCCATGGTCTGGTTGTTAGGGCTGGGTTGGACTCGATGATCTCAAAGGTCTTTTCCAACCTGGCTCATTCTGTGATGCTGTGGTTTAGGAGCATCCCAGAAAAAAGGGTGCATGTACTTTTTGGGTGTGATCAGAGAGCTGAAGCTGCTCTGGGTGTCTTTGGGGAGTCCCGTGGCTCACACAGGCACCACCCAGCCCTGTCTCCTTGTGAAGCTGTGGCTGGGGGTGGGCTCGAGGCTGGCAGTCCCCAACCAGGCTCTCCCTCACAGGGGACCTTGGCCAGGGTCAGGGACAAGGATGATGTAGACATGGATGCAGGTGGCTGAGAGCAGCATGGAAACACAAGTTAAACACAAGAAGCAGAATTTTCCTTCTTCCCCCGGTGCCTGTGGGCAGTCATCCTGTTGTGATGTCACCTGCTGGTGGAGGGTGACAAACCTTGTGTTTGTGACATCACGGGGGATGTGTTGTGATGTCACCTCCCGCACTGGCTGTGCTCGGGCACTGGCAGGGCCAGCGTGGCTCCAGCCTGGACTGCTGGCCAAGCAAAGCTGGGAGGCCTGCAGAGTCGAGCCAGGTGTCTCCTGGAGCGGTGTTGAAGGCTGCGGGCTGTCACTGGGCTGTCACTGGGCTGTTCCCTGCCGGTCCTGGAGCATCACTCCATGTCCCGAGCCCTGCCTGCTGTGGGCAGCCGGCAGCGTGGCGCCTGCAGCGCTGGAGGTGAGCTCCGAGGGGAAATGCTCCTCACAGGGGCTCGGGGAGCAGGGGGTCTGTCCTCGGGGGGGCTGAGCTTTTCCTCCTCCCCTCTGTGCCCCACGACAGCCAGCGGCACGGCCTCTCTCCATTCTGCAGTGCGGGACATGCTTTGGAAGCGCTACAGAATCACAGACTCACCAAGGCTGGCAGAGACCTTCAAGATTCCCACGTCCAGCCGCGGGCCCAGCACCAGCTCCGGTGCCAGCCATGGGGAGCCTCCTGTCCTTGTACCTGCCCGCGGCCCCGCCGGGCGAGAGCAAGGCCACGCAGACGGAGTGGAACTGCCCGGTGTGCCACAGCGTGCTCAGCGACACGGCCGCGGTGCCCTGCGGCCACCAGTCGTGCCTGGGCTGCCTGCTGCGGCACACGGCCAGCAGCCCCACCTGCCCGCTCTGCGCCGCGCCCGTGCTCAGCGCCCGCTTCTCCGTGCAGGACCGCAACGACTTCCTGCAGTGCATCCTGATCCCGCCCCGGGAGCCGCCGGGGCCCGGCAGCTGGGCTCGCCGGGCTCTGTTCCGCCTGGTGTACGCGCGGCCCCCCGGCCCGCCCGCAGCGCCCGCCCCGGCTGAGCCGCCGTGCGCGGGGCCCGAGGCCGCGGAGGAGCTGCCGGCCGACCTGTGGGCAGAGCTGCTGCACGGCCACGAGCAGCTGCTGGAGCCCGTGCGGCCCTGGCTGCGGCAGAGCCTGGACGCCATCTACGGCCCGCAGTGGTGGGAGGCCCGGCAGGTGGAGAGCATCGCGCTGTCCACCCTGTGCATCTGCGGCCCGGACAGGGCCGGGCTGACACACATGCTGCGGGGCTACCTGGGCGACTACACCGCGCCGCTGATCCGCGGCCTCATCCACGTCACCGTGCACCGCTGCAGGGACGCCTGGCTGCGGCGGCGCGCCCAGCCTGCCCCCGAGGCGGACGAGGAGGAGGAGGAGGAGAGCCCTGCGGCCAGCGCCGGCTCCTCCTCGCCGAGAGGGGCCCCCGCCCTCGGCCTGGCTCGGGACCCTGCAGGGCTCGGCCTGGGGAACTGGCCCAGCGAGCCGGAACCTGCCCTCCCCGGGGGTCCCGGGCGCCCCCCGGCCGCGCCCGCTCCCGCGGCGCTGCAGCAGCCCCGGGCCGGGCCGCGGCAGGACGCGCCGGCTCCCGGGCCCTCCGCGCTCCGACGGGCCAGGAGCCGCCAGCCCCGGGCCACCCGGCGCTCTCAGAGGAGGACGGCTCACAAATGCCGGCACTATTTGAAGGTTACAAGAGGGAAACCAAGGAGAAGATAAAAAGCTGTTTCCTTGACGCAGTCTCCCCTTCTGCTGGGGTCCTTTCCATCGCGCCCACCCTCGGCCAGGCTCCGACAGCCCTGTCAGATCCTGCCAGACTGCTGGAGAAAGATTCCTGTGTCATGTTATGCCACATAAACTTCCCATCACCTTTCAGAACCCTTCAGTCAACTAATTGCTGGCATATCTCAATTTTTGTGATGGGAAATCATCAGTCCTTTCCAAGCAGGGACCTGGGGATTGTCCAGGAGCCGCTGGAAGGGCAGGAAAAGTCAAAGGGCCAAAGATGATGTCCCCATCTCACTCCCACGGTGAAGCAGCCTCTGCTCAGGTGTGGGGTTTACGGATGCCCTAGGCAGCTCTCACATGCTGGGATGCGGATTGAGACTGGGAAAAAGGCAGGCACAGGCTGGCAATGGGGGAACGCTGTGGCTGGGAGGGCCTCGGAGGGGGTTTGCCAGGCGGCTCAAGGGGTCACGGAGGAGCAGCTGCAGAAGATGGAGGTGCTGGGAGGGTCGGCACTGTCCTTCAGCCGCACCCTGCCCCGGAGATGGCACCCGCCGTGGGGTGGATCCGCACCCGGGAGGCGCTCACCGTGTGCCAGCCCCGAGCAGGGACGGTCACAGCGGCACGGCCATTGCCGTGCGCACCCCGCAGCCCCTCACGGCCGCCATGGCTCCCGTCACCCGCCTGCCCCGGCCCGGCCTCCGTCAGCCCGTCCGGGCATCCCCAGCAGATCCCGGAGGGCTTTCTCAAAGGCGCCGGAGAAGGGCCCAGCAGCGAGCTCCGCCCGCTCCTCCCGCGCTGCGCCCCGTCCCCTCCCTCAGCCGCGCGCCCGGCCCCGTGTCGCGAGGGGCGCGAGCCTGTCGCGACGCCCGGCGCTGATTGGTTGCCGCGCCGCCCGGAAGCGGAAGTGGTGGCGGAAGCGGTGAGACGGTGGCGATGGCGGCGGAGCTGGAGCTGGCGGGCGGGCAGTGCCGGCTGCGGCCCTTCTCCTGCGAGCTGGGGCTGCTCTCGCGGCCCGACGGCTCGGCCACCTTCCTGCAGGGTCTGTGGGGCTCCCCATCCCATTATCCCATCCCATCCTGCAGGGTCTGTGGGGCTCTGCTAATTGAGGCTCCCCTTCTTTCCTCACTGGGGCTTCTTTTCCCAGCCTTCCGCTCCTGAGGATCTCCTTCCATGCCCATCCTGGCTCCTCTTCCCGGGGCTCCTCATTCCTTCCCGCAGGGCTTCCTCCCCGGCTTCCCCTTCTCTGCTGCCCAGAGCTCCCCTCCTGCCCATCCCAGGGCTCCCCTTCTCCCCCTGCTGGGATCCCGTTCAGTCCTTCTCACAAGCTGCCAGGGGCTCCCGATCCTGGGTGTGGCCTCCTCGCCGTGACATCTCCTCTCTGTGTCCCCAGGTGACACCTCGGTGCTGGCAGGGCTATACGGCCCCGCGGAGGCCAAGCTCAGCAAGGAGCTGCCGGACCGGACGGCGCTGGAGGTGCTGCTGCGCCCCAAGGTGGGGCTGCCAGGTGGGGACCCACTGTCCTGTCCCTGTCCCAGAACAGGTTCTTTCCCCCAGAGTGCAAGAGTCAAGGTACTTGGTTTATTTACAGGTCTTGATTTACATTTTCTTGGTGGTAGATCCACAAATGCAGCACAACCACACCCCTTCATCATTTACACATTTTATCAAACAAAAGCATTGGTGTTTGTTTGCTGCAAGTTGCCCAATTGTCTCAGTAATTAGTGCTCTCCCCGCTGCTGGGTAACGAGTCCCCCGCTGCTCTCACACTAGTTAGTGCCACGCTCAGTGTGTCTCTGGGGCGGGCGGGGGTTCCTGGGCTCGCTGCCGGGCCCTGCCCTGCTGCAGTCACCCGCTGCCTGCGCAGCTGCTGCGCCGTCCCGAGGGGTTTCCTCCTTACCCAGGGACTCGTGCCAAACGTCCTTGTGGCCATCAGCCCTGCCCGGCCCGTGCCCACCGGCAGGGAAATGCCTCTGTTCGGGCGTTGCTGGCCTCCCCAGGCCCAGAGCGCTGAGGGCTGGCCGGCCCTGGCAGTTCCAGCCAGCAGGGATTTGTCTTTCCGAGGCCTGGACACCACCGAGAGCTCGCTGGCCGCTCGCTTCCAGGGCTCCAGTCTCCTTTCTGAGGCTCCAAAGAGCCCAGAGCTCAAGCACCAGAGGGGTTTCTGGGGGAGCTGTGACACCCTCCTCGTCGTGCAGGCGTGCTGGAGCGCAGCCGGGAGCAGCTGCTGCGGCAGACGTGCGAGGCCGTGGTCCTGGGGGTGCTGCACCCCCGCACCGCCATCTCCCTGGTGCTGCAGGTGCTCAGCGATGCTGGCTCGGTATCCTTTCCTTTGTGGGACGGCTCTGGGGGGTCTGGGGGCAGGGGGACTCGGAGCTGTTGGTGCTGTGGGGTCCCTTGACACCCCCCAGCTGCTGTCCTGCTGCCTGAACGCCGCCTGCATGGCGCTGCTGGATGCGGGGCTGCCCCTCGCCACCCTCTTCTGTGGTGTCACCTGCGCCCTGCAGCCCGACGGCACCATCCTGCTGGACCCCACGGCCCGACAGGAGCAGGTGAGCCCTTGGGGGGTGCCCAGCTCTGCGTGTGCCCTCCGAGCCCTCCTGACCCCTGTCCCCACAGGACGCTCGCGCCATCCTCACCTTTGCCATCGCCAGCAGCGAGAGGAAGGTGCTAATGGCCACCACCAAGGGCAGCTGCTCTGTGGAGGAGGTGAGGAGTTTTGGGGGGGTTTTGTGGTGTGGGATTCCCTCACAGTGGGACCCTCACACCCACCTCTTCACCCCGGTGCTGTGCAGATGCAGCAGTGCCTGGCCGCAGCCCAGCGTGCTGCTGACACCATCTTCCAGTTCTACCGCGACTCCGTGCGCCGCCGCTACTCCAAGTCCTGAGCTGGGGACACCCCGCGGGCAGCTGGACTGGCCTGGACCCCCAGCACTCAGTAAAGGACTGCTTTTCGCTCCACTCTGCCTCTTGAGTCCATCCGGTGCCGACAGGGTGTCCTGAGAGGGGCAGACTCAGGGACAGGTCTGGGGATACGTGTCCTAGTACCTGCTGGCTCCTGTGACCCCGGTGTGGGGACACACGGACACGGGCCTTTCGGGACACCCAACATGGCGGCCCGCGGGGTGCCGCACACCTGCTGGTACACCCAACATGGCTGCTGCCGCGTTGCGGGGCTGCAGCCGCACGTTTTCGGTACACTCAAGATGGCGGTACAGCTGGTACCGGCGCCCCGGAGCGACCTTCCGAGCATGGCGGCACCACGGCGTGACACGCTGCATGTCTTCTTGGGCGGGGCTTGTAGCACCGCGGCCAATGGGGAGACGGTGGTGGGCTAAACCCTGAGTGGCGGGGCTGACCGCGCATGCGCGGTGAGCGTGGGCTGAGGAGGCTCAGTGTGGGCGCAGTAATGGGGAGCCCGTGGGGGTGTGTGAGACAGCAACGGGTCCGAGGGGAGGCGACAGCTCCCAGCAGTGGGGGATATGGGCCGGGATAGCGGGGTTCAACGAGGCTTTGGGCTCCGTAATGGGGGGAGCCGAGGTGTGCAACGGGGGGGTTCTGAAGGATATGGAATTGGGCTGTAATCGGGGTGCCAACCCCTACTACATAAAAATTACTTTAAAAATTAAAACAAAAATAAACCCCACAGAAACTATGGCTGCCCCCACTAAAAGAAGCCCTCAGTAAATGCAAAGAAGTCGCGCTGAAACGCAGTGGGCAGAAAGACGGAGCTAGGGGGAAACGGGGTGTGTGGGGGCTCCTCACGTGCTCTCCCACGTGACCGGACGCGTTCCTGCCCACGTGACGCGGCGCAGACATGGCGGCGGCAGCAGCGCTCCGGAGCCGCCGGTTCAAGTGGTCGCTGGATCTGGGGGCGGCGCCGGGGGCACGGTGAGGCCGGGGGCTCGGTGAGGCTCGGGGTCGCGGGGGGTGCGGGACACCGAGAGCTCCCGCTCACCTGCCCCGCTGTCTCCAGGCCCCGCGGAGCCGCCGAGGGCCGCGGCCCGCTCGGGTTCGCAGACCGGCAGCTGGGGGAGGGCGGCGTCCACGAGAGCGACAAGATCCTCATGGAGAAGGTGTGAGGGGGCAGGGGCACTCCGCGGGGATGGGGGGGTGTCCTGTGCCCCCACACAGCCCGGTCGCCTCTGCACCAGGGGTCGCTGCCGTCGGGGGTGCTCCCTGGCCCGGGTACCCCGCGCTCCGGCCTTCCCGGCGTAGCCACCGGCCCGGGTCCCCAGGGATGGTTCCTGCTCCAGATAAGAGTATGCCCCACACGCCGGATAGCTGCAAGGACCAGTCCCTGCCTCAGCCTCCCCGTGCCGGTGCTCCTTGCCCCGGGTCCCTCCCCTGTCCCGGCCACACAGGTCCCCCCAGCCCCGGGCAGGCATGACAGAGCGTCCCCGCCCTCGTCCCCCCGAAATGCCGGGTCCCCACACCCGCTCTGGGCTCCCCAAATGCTGGGTCCCCACACCCACCCCATCCCCTGTCGTTGCAGCGCTGCTGGGACGTGGCTCTGGCACCGCTGAAGCAGATCCCCATGAACCTGTTCATCATGTACATGGCCGGCAACACCATCTCTATCTTCCCTGCCATGATGGTCTGCATGATGGGCTGGCGCCCACTGCAGGCCCTCATGTCCCTGTCTGCCAGTGAGTGCAGCCCCTGCCTGGGGACAGCCCCTGGGTGTCCCGCAGCCCCTGGGTGTGCCACAGCCCCTGGGTGTGCCACAGCCCCTGGGTGTCCCGCAGCCCCTGGGTGTCCCACAGCCCCTGGGTGTCCCACAGCCCCCACATGGGGACAGCCCCTGGGTGTCCCACAGCCCCTGGGTGTCCCACAGCCCCTGGGTGTCCCGCAGCCCCTGGGTGTGCCACAGCCCCTGGGTGTCCCACAGCCCCCACATGGGGACAGCCCCCTGGGTGTCCCACAGCTCCCTGGGTGTCCCACAACCTCAAGGTCCCCATGAATTTCCCGTGGGCCCCTGAGCCCCCCAGGTGTTCCCACAGCCCCCCAGATCTCCCATAGCCCCATGGACAGCCAGATGTCTCTCACAGCCCCACATTCACCTCCACATCATTCCCCTCTGCCCAGCACTGCCCCTGTGATGCTGCCCATCTCCCATGACCCCTGTGCCAGCTCAGCGACCTCGGGGTCACTGACAGGCACCCCAACTCCTCTGTTCCCCCCAGCACTGAAGGCCCTGGAGAGCTCAAGCCGGCGGGCACTGCAGGGTCTTGTGTTCCTGGTGGGCAACGGGCTGGGGCTGGCACTGGCTCTCTACAAGTGCCAGGCCATGGGGCTGCTGCCCACCCGCCCTTCCGACTGGCTGGCCTTCGTCACCCCCCCACAGGTGAGCCCAGGGTCCTGGGGACACCCTGCAGAGTCAGGGGCCACACACCCAGGTCCCCCCACTCATCCCTTCCTCTCTCCCCTCTCTTGGCAGCGAATGGAATTCACTGGGGGGGGCCTGATCTTGTGACCCTCTGCGCCCACCCACCAATAAAGGCAGTGGCAGGATGGTGACATCGTTTCTGGGGGCAATTCTGAGGGTTTGGGGACTCAGCCCAAGGCAGCACTGGGTTGGGGTGAACCAAAAAACGTTCATTGGGCTGTACTGGGACCGCTGGGACCTGCAGTGAGAGCACTGGGAGCTTTGGGGACATGCACTGGAGCTACACACAGAGCCACAGGACCCGTACTGGGAGCACTGGGAATGTACTTGTGGTCCACACAGGGAGAGCTGCAGCCTGAGGCTGGCTCTGTACTGCAGGCACTGGGTTCATACTGGGAACACTGGGGATCATACCAGGATCTTGATTTGACTGTAGGTCATGCTGGTGTCATACTGAGAGCCCTGGGGACACACTGGGATCCTGCCTGAAGAGCTGTGGCTCACTAGCATTGTACTGGGAGAGCTGGTGGTGTGTGGGAAGCACTGGGCACTTACTGGGACTGTGGCAGCCCATACTGGGATTGTGCCAGGAGGCCTGTGGTGCCAGCCAGTATTGTGCTGGGAGCACTGGGCCTACACGGATGGTGCTGGGTGTGTCTGTGCTGCTGGTTTCTGCCACATTTCACCATTTTACTTCGGTAGTTTCCCCATTTTGACTACTATTCTCACCACTTCTTGCCCATTTTTGCCCTTTTCCCTTGTTATTTCATACTTTTTTTACCCATTTTTCCAGTAATTTCTTCCACTGTTGCTCCCAGTAGAGCCCAAACCTCTGCTTTCCAGCAGGGACCAGTGCCTCCCAGTGTAGCCTCGTGCTGTCTCCAGTACTTTGAGTGTGATCCAGGACTTTAGTGTGATATTATCATGATCCAGAGTCCAATCCCAGTATATCTTGACAGCTCCCAGTGCCTTTCCACACCACCCCAATCTTCCCAGTGGCACCACACTGCACTGGGGGCCTGGGATGGGCAGGGCCTCCTGATGCAGTCAGTGGACACATGATGTCACACCTCACTCAGCTGACGTGGCTGTGGCATGTCCTGGGGTGTCACCGGGCATGGTGACCCCAAACACAGCATTTCCCAATGGCCACACTCCCACCTGAGGCTCCTGACCAGTGGAGTCCCACACCTTTCCCAACGGCCTCTCACAGACTCATCCAGCTTGGGAAATCCCTCCCAGCCCAGCCAGTCCCAGCTGTGCCTGATGCCCACCGTGTCCCCAGCCCAGAGCCCTGAGTGCCAAATCCAGGAATTCCCTGGACACCTCCAGGGATGGGCACTGCAACCCTCCCTGGGCAGTTCCAGGGCCTGAGCTCCCTTTCCATGGGGAAATTCCTGCTGCTGTCCCCCCTGAGCCTCCCCTGGCCCAGCCTGAGGCCGTTCCCTCTCCTCCTGTCCCTGTTCCTGGGAGCAGAGCCCAAATCCCCCCGGCTGTCCCCTCCTGTTACCAACAATCAGTAAAAATAAACCTCCCGAAGTGCAGTGCAGCATCAAGCAGCATCCACTCTTCGTTCAGCTGGAGGCATGAGGGGCTGTCTCCTCTGAGATGTGGTGCTTGCTGAGCACAGAAAAGGCTCCTGCTCCCAGGCTGTATTTCACATGTGTGCTCACAGCTTGTCCCAGAGCAAACACACATGTGGTTACCATTTCCCTGAAGTCATTAACACACGTTCCTTCCCACCAGCACGTCTTCTCCTGTTCCAGGGTGGTCCCTGATGGCCAGTGACCCCACAGTTGTGTCTGACCACTCAGTGAACTGGTGCTACTGTGCCCAGTTAGGAGAAAGGCTGGCCTAGCTCATTAATTTGTGAGGCTTTAAATCAATGGAGTGTAGTTTCTTACTCCTTTCCTTGGTTAATGTTTATTGTACTTCTAATTGTGCACTTCCATAGTCTGATGATTTTGCTAAATGATCATTGTGTTAACCCAGCAGGTGCAATCAATGCTTCATCAGGCAACATTGTCAGGGAGTTGTGCAGAGCTGGAAGGTCCTCCTGGGGCTCCTTTTCTCCAGGCTGAGCCCCTTTCCCAGCTCCCTCAGCTGCTCCTGGGGCTGCAGCCCTGGAGATGGAGCAGTGCCAGCACTGGGGACAGTCACTGCCCTGCGCCTGCTGCCACACTGTCCCGGACAGAGCCCTGGTGCCACTGTGGAATCATGTCCATGAGCTACTGCTCTGGTCTTGCCCGGCAGCTTTCCCACTCTTTTCAGCTGTGGAAGTGCCCCTTCCAGCCATGTCTCCCAGGGGACACACTAATGCAGGGTCTCCCTCCCCCTGTGTCTACTGGATTCCCTAAAGTTTTAGCAAGGCCACATTGCTCCCGTTGGAGCTCAGACACCAGTGATCATCCTGGCACAGCAGTCACAGCAGGTGAGTCCCTGGGAATGACACAGCCTGCCCTGGGAAGGGACCCCTGTTAGCAAAACCAGCGGCCTGCAAGGCATGGAGACACAAATGTGGGTTACAAGTGGGAAGAGCTTGTGAAGACACACCTGGCTAGTGCTGGGAAATCAAACAGAGCTTCCCTGTTGGCAGGTGCACAGAACTGGGATGGCTGGATGGTTTGTGAGAAAGCCAAAGCACAGAAACGGCTGCTCTGAGGAGCACGAGCGCCTGGGCATCCCATGTGGATCTCACATGGATCTGGGCTTGTGCTGGACCTGGAGACACCTTTGTGTCGGTGTGTAAACACACCACATCCCCCCACAGCCAGACCCTGCTGTCAGGACTGTCCCCTGCATTGTCCCCAGCACCACATCCAGCACCTGGCATGGACATCCCTGGGCCAGAGCAAGAGGAAAACTCCCCTTCTGAGACAAGAGGGGGAAAAGCACCTTCCTCCCTGCAGCCACCAGCTCACCTGAGCTTAGGAATGCCCTGGATTTCATTTCCCAGCCCCATGCAATGGATAATTTCCCTGGATGCAACAGGCACCTGAGGCTCCAGGCAGGGAGTCTCCAAGTGACGTGTTTACGTTCCCAAATTAAGCCCCAGTTCCCAAACCTGAGTTGCACTTCCAGGCCCCCCCTGCCCCAGGGCTGAGGCCCCACCGGGTGAGCCAAGGGCAGATCCCGGTGTTCCTGGGGAACTCCTGGCTGGGAGGCAGCGAGCTGCCCTGCCCTGCTGCTGCTGTATGAGTCCCTGCACCTGGAAAGCACATCTGACTGCCTGCAGCCAGCACTCCTCTGCTCTGCCTCCCGTCCCTTCGAGGCGGTGCAAAGGGGTGCTGAGCTCGAGGCAGCAGCCAGGGAAATCATCCCAGCCAACTCCACCTTACCTAGTAATTATTAAAAATAAGGTGCAACCAGGGCCCAGTGACACAACTGCTCTTCCATTTATTTCAAATCAAACTGTTGGTGAGCTGGGTGCAGGGGACTCTGGATGTTGCACACAGAGGAGGGTGAGGTGGGCAGCTGCAGCACACGTGACAGCGTGTGCAGGATGGACAGGGGCTTTGTTCACACAGCACAGGGAATGTTCTGGCACGAGTCACTGCCTGACCACACCATGCAGCGTTGCACGGCCAGGATTCACCTGCAGGGACCGCAGGTAGCCCTGCCCATGCTGCCTGCCCCGGGTCACTGCCGGCTGGACATGCTGAAGTGAGATGTTTCGGAACCATCTGGCGCTGTCTGTCTGCCTCTGACACCGTGTTTGATTAGCGCCTGGGGGAGAGCAGCTGCAGTTCGTTCCGCGGGCTCGTACGCCGGCCCGGAGGGGTCATATACTGTCCAGCTTCTTCAGGATGAAGGGAGCTGAGAGAGAAAACAACGCGGAGTCGAAGCGAGTCAGCGGCGAGCTGGGCAGCATCTGACCCCGAGCCCGGCCGAAACACCGCCCCCGCTGTGCCCGTGCCCCGGCACATCCCGCAGCTCCACACACCCCGGGAGCTCGGGCCCAGCCCGTCCCGGGGCCGAGACACCCGGTCACTCACTGATCCGCAGCAGTGCGACGTAGATGAGGAAATTGCGGACGGAGGAGAGGACGTCGCGGCGCATCTTCCGCCTGAGCTCCTCCGGGTCCATCTTGGGCCCCAGCCCCTCGATGCGGAACATCCCGGACGGAGCTCGATCGACCCCGACCCGACCCGGCCCCAGCGCCACTGGCGGCCACGCGCGGCGGAACCACGTGATCTGGCGCTCTCGCGTCACATGACCACGGAGGGCGCATGCGCACGGAGCGCGCGGACAGCGCCGCTTCCGCCCGGGCGTGAGGGGAGCGGGACAGGGACGGGCGGGAAACAAAGGGACAGGGACACGGGTCAGCGATGGACTGGGGCAGCGACACGTCTCACGGGCCCTCTGCGGGCACGGGCAGGGCTGTACGGCTGGTGGGTGTCACAGCTCCCCCAGAAACCCCTCTGGTGCTTGAGCTCTGGGCTCTTTGGAGCCTCAGAAAGGAGACTGGAGCCCTGGAAGCGAGCGGCCAGCGAGCTCTCGGTGGTGTCCAGGCCTCGGAAAGACAAATCCCTGCTGGCTGGAACTGCCAGGGCCGGCCAGCCCTCAGCGCTCTGGGCCTGGGGAGGCCAGCAACGCCCGAACAGAGGCATTTCCCTGCCGGTGGGCACGGGCCGGGCAGGGCTGATGGCCACAAGGACGTTTGGCACGAGTCCCTGGGTAAGGAGGAAACCCCTCGGGACGGCGCAGCAGCTGCGCAGGCAGCGGGTGACTGCAGCAGGGCAGGGCCCGGCAGCGAGCCCAGGAACCCCCGCCCGCCCCAGAGACACACTGAGCGTGGCACTAACTAGTGTGAGAGCAGCGGGGGACTCGTTACCCAGCAGCGGGGAGAGCACTAATTAGTGAGACAATTGGGCAACTTGTAGCTCGGCCCGTGCCCACCGGCAGGGAAATGCCTCTGTTCGGGCGTTGCTGGCCTCCCCAGGCCCAGAGCGCTGAGGGCTGGCCGGCCCTGGCAGTTCCAGCCAGCAGGGATTTGTCTTTCCGAGGCCTGGACACCACCGAGAGCTCGCTGGCCGCTCGCTTCCAGGGCTCCAGTCTCCTTTCTGAGGCTCCAAAGAGCCCAGAGCTCAAGCACAAACACCCTTTCCTAGGGGAGCTGTGACACCCTCCA